CAGTTCAAAATACATTGAAATGAGGGTTGTGCAAAAAAGACAAATCTGGGGCTGTTTAACAAATCCTTCCGGCCATGAATTTGCCTTTTTTATACAGGTCGCAACTGAAGGTATTTCATCGTGAATTTTTACACACACGTGGGTTACATCCTTACGTACATGCATATGTTTTTCAAATTTTTTGAACCATAAAAGTTTGAATTTTATTTTTTCAAAAATAAAGGCCTCCATGGAGCTTGGCCTCCAAAACACCTCTATCAGAAAATATAACGAAAATATGTGTTTTATAGAGTTACAATAAACCTTATGTTAAAAATCGAAATTGGAGCAAAATGAAAATAAGGTGAAATAAATTATTATTAATTTGTCTTGAATTCCATGCTTTTTAATAGTACTTTGATTTTTTTATTTTACAAATATATATTTTTGTGGGAAATTTAACAAATATCTAGAGTATGTTCTTTTAGTACTTTCCAACATATTATATTATATGTACTGTATATTTATATTTTATTTACAATTTCTATATCTCTCATGAAATTTTGGTTTTCAGATTCCTTTATGTTGTTTCTTTTGTCGTACTTCTTAAAATCCTTTTTTTGATGATTAGGCTGCCATATCATTGTCTTACGATTTTGTAGAGGTCACAGAACTAAATTCCCCAGTTCTGCAAATTAAATTTAAAATCGGCATTTATGGACTGATTTTGGAGGTTGCGGACTGTTGATGGATAAAAAATAGACTTCTCTTTTTTTTTGAAAAGGAGGAAGACCCCCGGCCTCTGCATCTAGGTGATGCATGCAGCCATTTTATTAATTATTTACAAAGACCTTGCAAAGTAATAGAGCAGTAAGTCTGAAGCCACCGTATAGGCAACATCTGTCGCTACTCCTATCTAGTTGATGAAGGGATGCTGATAGTCCGGACCTAATACCAAACATACCTCGCAGACAAGTCTAACATCTAACACCTGAGGCCCCAACCAAGCCACTTGCCGGGTATGGGGTATACAACGGTCCGGCGCACTCCCAGAGGCCGCCGCTGCCGCCAACTGCCACCAATCCATCTTCAGAGTTGTACTGACGCATCAACCTTACCCAGCCTAGCTGTTGTCAACGCCACCACGACGTCAGACAGCGCCACCATCCTGCGCTCATCCATCAACAAACGTCCAATAGCGAGACCCAGCTGCTCCATGCTGCTAAGACCCGCAGTTGTCAACGTGTCAGATGGGACACAACTCCTCCTTCGCGAACACCACCTGCTGCCACTGGTGCCATCCGCTCCACCTGCAGTTCCTCTGCAAACCCAACCGAGTCCCAAGGCCACTAACGACACCTCCAGGTAGGTCACGGCGCGAGCAGTGCCGCTGCCGCCAAATCCTAAGAGGATTGAAGGTTTTCACCCAGGCAGGGGATTGGGGTGGGTAGAATGGGCCCTCAGCTGCGCCTTTATGAAGGAAAGCGGCGCCAATAGGTGTCGCCGCCGCCAGGCTGGCCAAATTGGCCAAGGTTTCCCCCGGACCCTAAGTACACCACCAGGGCTCACCATCACCGGAGCCTATTGGCGGAGCGGCGAAACCCGGGAGGCGGAGCGGCGAAAACCCGAATCGTCCCCGAGTCGCCCGGGGGCGACGCGAGGGAAGCGATGTAAAATGTCTGTGTCAAATAGACTTATCTTAACAACAGTTAGATCAAATGATAATCATATTTTCTTTTACGTAGATTGAACTGTTTTTTTACTTATACTAGCACAAATGTCCGTGCGTTGCAACGGAAGAAACAAACTCAAGTCCCTTCCTCTACCGACTTGTAATTCTTCGTGCCTTGCAATCGTTACATTCACTTCACGTGGTTCAACACAAGTCATGTATTGACATATCAGGTATTGTATTTTCTTATTTACCGCAAAAAATAATGATTCCGATTGCAAATTATATCAAGGTATGACGCTATCAGCCTCTTGACTGACATAATCTGCATACACTCCACTGTCATAACCGTCCACCTTCTTCATCTCTACCATGAACTTGGGCTTGTTTCCGGCAGCAAACTATGTTGAGTTTTTCCACCATGGCCATCGAACCATAGTTTGAAAAATGAACCAGTAGAGTAAACTTAAGCTTGGCTTTCATACTGCCCAAAATAATATAATATAAGCATGGCCAAGCATAATTTATATGTACCACAAGAAATTCAAAACTACATTATCAGGAAATGAAGTACAACATTAACCATTTATTTAATGGTCATGTCTCCAATCAGATAGAACAGGGAATTTATTCGTTCTTCTAAGACTTCTGTTTCCTGCCAAATTTGTTTCCTCTTTTAATAGTTGTCTAGCATGGGCTTGACTGGCATGATATATTTGACAATTTACCATAAGATATTTTGGCTTTTCAATATAGTTTCTTTGAAGATGTTTTCGCAGTAGGTTGTTACATGAAGTAGCGCTGCAAAACAGAAAAGAAAGGAAAAGAAAATACTTGCATAGAGTTGTTTTGTCTGTGGACCAAATGTATTTAGTTGTATGGTCAACTAAGGGCATCTCCAACAGTTTGTATGTTACCTTGTTGGTAAAATATGCCATGTCATCAATCAACACCTTAACATACAACATCTCCAATGGGTTGTATCTAGTTTGCCCAATAGGATGTGAGATAATAAATAAAGTGCTCTCTCATTTTACATTGGAGCTTGTGCAATGGATGTTGGTTCATGTACATACAACCTTCCTCTCTTTCCTTATTTATTGTATGACACATCATCAAAAATCCTACTCCCTCCGTCTAGGTGTGTAAGTCATCTTACGAAAACCAAATAATCCCAAAACACTTAGGCGCGGTGCATTAACTTCTACCTCGTTTCTTGTTTCTTGACATATTAACCAATAAGAGATGAGGGTGTGCATGCTTTTAATGACTCGAGACTATCAAACACGACATGCAGTGGTTAGTTCATTGCATGCAATACTATTAATTAGCAATTAGACATTAACGTCTCTCGTTTTTCTCTCCTCCTTGGTCACGGTGCACAGCCTAAGATGACTTACTCACCTAGACAGAGGGAGTATGTGGCAAAGTCTACCAACAACTATCTTACAACCATTGAAGATGCCCTAAGTAATGACTCGAGTACGACGCTTGGAAAGCAATCCCGAAGCTCACGCGCGTGCAGTTAATTGCACATGCACCCGGCCGGCTCCAATTTATCGCTAAGAGCAAGTACAATAGAGCTGAGTCAGCGGGCTATAAGGAATAAACTAGTATATTTCTGCTTACTTGGAGGAAACAGAAGAGGAGAGAGAAGGTAAGTGGGCTCTTCGTGGAGAGCCAGCTCTAGCACGTGCTCCTAGGCACTTTGTGAGAATGAAAGGTGCGTCACATAATAAAAAAATAGTACACTCTTTTGATCTACTATTGTACATATTGACTATAAGATGGGCTGTAGATGACATGGCACTGGCTTGTAGCCAGCAGCTGGCTATACTATTAACCATGCTCTAAATCTCCCGCATGTAACAGAGAGTTAATTTGCTAAAATCCCGCTCACGTGCGGTAATCCAATCTAATTAATTGAGCCAGCCAATCAGCAGTACATATCGTTCCTCCTTCTATCTCATGGATAATCAATGTTCCAACCGTCCAACTTAATTAGAATGAACCCACCATGTCACCCACTATGTCGTGCAAGTATCCATCCGATATAATTAGAGCCCCAATCAGCTTGCGCATCCATTGCATGCCCCTACTCCTTTTCTTCCTCCATCCGATTCAATTATAGCCACAATTAAGTTCTCGCATCAGCTGGTTGCATGCCCCTCCTCCTTTTGTTCATCCGTACAATTTAATTAGAGCCACAATCAATCAAGCTCGCGTATCCGTTAAGCGTCCCTCCTCGCTTTTCTCAATTTATTCCTCCGTTGTCTTTATTTCTGCTTCTTGAGGCTCGCTGCGAAGCCGACTTGTAAACATATATAAACTGATGGAACTTGAAAAAAAGAACCGAGATGGGACTATTATATAGCGAACCCATATTTGTAAAAAACGTAACATGCCCACTGGAGTGCATCTACATTTTTTTACTGGTCGGCCCAGGACGGGCGAACACAGGCGTGCTGACGATAAAAATGGTAATCTTCCTTTTTGTTGAGAATGACATGTTAGCTAGGTCGCCTGATTCGCATAACACTATTTAATTTTTAAGCCAAAAGGGAACACAATTTTTTTAGTACAACGCGAACCATGGACGAAAAAATCCCAAAAAAGAGACGAAACGTTTTTTCCCTTGTTTGCAAAACGTTTTTTTCATTTACAGGTTGCATTTGTGGGTAATTCTCGCCAACTTCAAGGGTAATTTGGATGACGGTGAACGGGAAGAAATACTCCGTGCTTTATTAGGAGGTAAAGATTAGTGCGACCTGCTTCCAAAAAATACACAGTATGCATGATCTAATATTTCTGAAATTATCCAAAACAGAAAAGATATAGGTCATCAGGGGCATGGCTTGCATAAACCTTACAGGACTGAAAACCATTAGAAAATAACAAATGTAGAAAGGTGCTTGACTACACCACACAACATTATTGTATTATGATATCATGTCACTAGAATTGTGTAAAATGTACCATGTTGCACAAAAAAAAAACACGATTCTGTAATTGTTCTGTAAAATCCCAAAATTCATTCTTGTTTCCAGGCATGAGCCCGAGTGTTAGTAGTGCAAAAGGGAACTCGTCTTGAGGCATGCGTGGGCCGACCACATGTGCATACGATTCTCATCGCCCTTCCTCTACTTCAGCCTGTTTGGAACAACATAAAATCTCATTAATTTTGATGGACTTGCCTACATGGAAAATTCATACGGTGCCTCCATTTTGTGTCTACAATTATTTTGTTCTTTCCTTAGTTATACTCCTGAAATATTTCATAACAAATACATACTCCTGAAGAAATTTGGAAATCTGTCAAAATGTTGAGCCAATGCATTCAATGTAGGATATGGCAGCTGCTGGTGCAGTGCACATGACGACACTCAACTTGAAGAATGGTGATTATGCTCAGGTCATCGGCAACCTCCGTGATGTGCTCGCAGATCATGAATCCCCCGAAGAGGTTGCCGGGCATCCTGTTCTCGGCGAGCAAAAACATCCTGGAGTGCCAAAGAGGTGGATGCACATCAAGCTAGTGGCCGGCAGCAAGGAAACAACCCTTGCTGTTCGGGATGACAACGTGTACCTAATTGGTTTCCAGAGTAAAAACGGAAGGTGGTACGAGTTGGGCTTCCAAGGGGAGACCAAGCGAATTATCCCAGGATCCACCTTTTTGGGGTGTGATGTTACGTATAGTAAGTTACTAGAAGTAAACTCTGGATGTCAGGAACAAAAAAACAGACGAGTCAGGGAACAAATTGTTAGTCTAAAGCTAGGGAGGACCTCCGCGATTGATGCCGTGGGTATTCTCTCGGTCTATAATCAAGGAGAGGGTGTAGCCGTTGACACAGTCACAAGGCGGGCATTGGTGCACCTAATTCTTATGTTCTGCGAGGCCACGAGGATGATCCCATTCTTCAACACCGTGGTGGCTAGTTGGGACAATGAAGAACCAACAGAAGGGCATATACAGATGGTTGATTCAGTCTACATCTGGAATTGGGGAATAATGTCGGGCGCGCTGCTAGATTGGAGAGAAACAGAACCAAACTACACAAGGTGGGGGTCAAGTGAATATGCCAAGAATCTAGCGGCATTGACAGCAACATATAGGGATCTGGCAGCTGAGCCAATCAATATCAATTGTGCAAGAGATGCACTCGATGTCGTTCAAGTGCTTCTCAAAAAGAAAAGGGGGAAAAACAGGAAGGGAAAGCAAAAGAAGACACCAACAATGATGGCAACGGCGACGACACTGGAGCTGGAGATGATAATGGCGGACACGAGAAGAAAGGCAATGGCAAACTGCTGCCTCAAGGCAGTGGCACTGACGCCCAAACCAAGCGGTCGGGATTCGGCCGGCCCCTTGTGCAAGTGTTCGGCGTGAGGGCTGACTTACATGTAGTTGGCACCATCGCCGTCTTCGATGGCAAACGCGGTCAGATCATCTACAAGAACCATGCTTCCATCTCCAACGATCCATCTCAGTCCGAGGTATATATACGAGTTAAAAATGAATACTCTTACATTTGCAAGTCATAAGTAGTGATATAGACATATGATATCTCGCAGAGTATGATTGATTTGGCACTCACTGGGCCATACAGAGGCATCTCAGCTGACGGGAGCTTTGCCGTTCAAGTTGACGGCATTCCCACAACAGGTGCCTCTGACGAATCTAAGAACGTCGCGGGTGAAATGCTCTGGGATTGCTACTCCGACAACGTTGTGTACAACATGGTCTTGACCCACGGTATCCCCAGATTCCCCACAGCCACAGGCACCACCACCAACATCGCGGAGGTGACCTATGCGGTGCTGAGCAACGCCGTGGAGGCCACCGTGCAGGTCGAGCTGAAGCTGAAGGGAGACAAAGAAAGCACCACTGCCTGCGTCCATGGTGAGATCACGGCACACTATGAGCACTACAAAGACCATAGCATACTGCTCTTCAGCAGTACAGAAGACAAGGAAATGGAACTGAAGGTTCCCGCCTGTGGCGGCTTCATCAGTATTCCGATTCCACTGCGGCGATCGGTCATTGCAGCGCCGGTGGGCTCATCACTTCAAATAAATGTGAAGATCCATGTTACATGTCCTCCCAACCATAAGAATACCATCTTCTTCGACGACGATCTCGTCTTCCCCCTTGTAGATCAGCAGACGGGGAAACTCACAGAGGATGATGTGGCGGTCCAAGTAAAGATCAAATCGTCGGACATATACACTCAGCCAGGACAAAATGACACAACACTGCCCACAACACCGGACATCCACGCCCTTCCAGAACAATGTGACACAGCACAACTAGCGTTGGCTACGACTTCAGATCCAAGGTGATTCCACTCTTACAATTCAAATTCTTAAGGTGCTTCAAAGTACGATTTTCTTTCTGCGAGAGGATAGATTGATAAATGCAAAAATGTAGTTTTAACATGCTCCCTCTTACCCCCTATTTCACATGAGAGGTAACAATATATAATAGATTTGTGTCGTTGATCTGATTAGTTAGTGGTTTGATAAGTCTTACCTTCTTACCTCATATGTAAAAAATTGGGTAGACATTTATTGTCTCCGCAGTTAGCAATCCATGGCCTTTTCGGAAAAAAAGTTAGCAATCCATGGAGGAAGTGTCAATGAGGGGAGAAAACGGCACTAGCTCCTCAGTGCCACCAATGTGACATTTTAACTTCATGTCGCCGTATTTTGACTTCCATTTCATATTTACTATGTTTTACACTAGATGGACCCAAGGCATATAAGCAAGTGTCCTATTTACATCAAAATTGATTCAAGTGGAGAAATTGTTAGTAACTCAACTTTATCTAAGTTTAGGTCATTTAGATTTTCTAGGTTCATGTCTATTTTAATTCAGGACTTGATTACAAATTCCTTTCACAATTCTCACCCAACATGTCAAATCTGATCTCTATCTCTCTCTCTCTCTCTCTCAGGTCAAAAGTTCTTTCCAAGAATGATAAATTTGTCATAAAAGAAATAGCCAGAACGCCAACTAGGGGAATGGGCAAGCACAAAGCAATTACTACTGCACCAGATAGCCCTGCAATGAGAACTAGAAGCAAGAAGAAAAGAAAGCTCTAATGATGGCAAGAAACAACAAAAAACTTAAATAATGGTCCTTTCATTCATGTATGAAATGAGTAATTGTGGTGAAATTATTTTGTAGCTGTTTTGATTATCGTGTTCAGACTTCGATGAATTTATATGGACAGCTGTGTTGAAATTATCCCATATTTTCTGAATTTTTATTGCTGAATATATATATATTGTTGCCATGTGAAAAAAATATGGGAAGTGCCACAAATAAATTGTGGGTACTTGTTGCTAGGCATCAATAGTCCATACATTTAAATAAGGACTGTGCTAACCACCAGTCGACTGGTGGTTAGCAATAGATCCGCACGAGTCCGATCCACTTCTTCCGATAGTTAGCAATAGGTGCGCTATCTTCTCACGCTCGCTTTCCACTGATTTTTTTCCTTCTCTCAAAAACCGTAGTAAATCGCTAGTGGTTTTTTCTGGTTTTTCGCTGCATAATATGAAAAGAAAATAAAGGTGCTTGAAAAAGGATTCGAACCCAAGTCTATGCAATAGCTGTTGAGCCTAATAACCAACTAAGCCACCTGTTGTTATTGTCTATTGTAGATAAACAACGTTATTTAAACCTTTCTTATTTCTGTCATATCAGAAGAAAAAAAAGTTTGGCTTGGTAACTTTGGCATGACCAGCGTGATAACTATGGTATGAGCAACATGATAACTATACCATGATAAGGCTGGTAACTGCAGTACGAGAAGGTTAAGGCATGGGGAAGTATGGTAATTTGACACAGAAATTACTGGTGAAAATGTTTCAAAAACTTCCCCCCTTGGATGAAAGATACCATGGTGTTTAAAACGTAAGATATTAGTTATCATGTCTGTGATTTATACATTATCATGTTTTTACACAGAAATTACCAGGTGTATGTTTTTCAACAAAAAAATCTGGTGAAAAATTACAGTGGCGTTTCTATGGGAGTTATGAACTTTGTATGTCTCTATTACCATGCTATTTACATAGAAATTACCGGGTCCCCCCCCCCCACACACACCTTGCCACAGTCGCCACATTTACCAGGATCAGGTACATAAGTTATCAGGTGTACCATGTATGAGTTATAATGTTATTTGCACATAAGTTACCGTGGCATGTTTCAGCAACTTGCCCCACCCCCACCCTCGCCGACCAAGTCATCAGGACCGGGGGTACATAAGTTATCGGCTCCACAATGTTTGAGTTATCATGTTATTTG